CCTGATACTATGAAAAGAGGGAAATAATTTTTTTTTTGCATTCATGTATTCACGTATAATGTGATGGCCCAGCACAGAGAGGCTCTGTATACAATTAAATTGTTCTCAGTATTCCATGAAATTTGAAGCAATCTTTACAGATGGTTTTTTTTTTTTTTTTTTTTTTTTTTAATCATGTTTGTTTCCACTTATATTATTCTCATTGGAAAAGAAAGTAAAGCAAAACAACAAACAAAAAATAAAGCTGTATTTTTGTCTCTATACTGTGGGGTATAGAGAAAGCAGGTAATTTATTGCCTGTTAATAAAAAAAAAATTTATGCATATGAAATGTATGGAGACATACAACATGTCCTGTTCACTGCAGGGGAGTTGGACTAGATCAACTCAAACAATTATATGGTCCTATGTTTCTATGAAACAAATGTAAAGATCTTGTTTTTTTAAAGAGAACCATTCAAGGGACATAGTAGATTAAAATCATCACAGTAAGTACCTAGGCAGGGAAAGGCACACAGTAAAATGCAGTTGTTGAAATGTTTGGTTGATGAATGTGAAAAGGACAGTGCTAAAAGAATAACAGCTTGAACACATAAATGTATAAACATGGTGGTAGATTGTGTCATTTTGTAGATTTTTTTTTTTTTTTTGAGGTACAATGCAGAATTTCAGCACGCTTTGTTTCAATTAATGGTCAAATGACCCTGAGGATCATCTTGTATTCTCCACAGTTGCTGTATTTAAAAAGCATGCTATTGCACATTTATAAATTCCTTAAGGAAACATATCTTGATTTAGAAAAAAAAAGAATCAAAGAAGAAATCTGCTGAATGCAACAGGTCTGTACATTTCCTAAATGAATGTCTAGTTTAGGTCATAGGAAAGATACGCCATCAGAGATGCACAATGGCACCAAAGAAAAACTGTGTAAAGAAACCAGCTTCAACTAGTGTCCCACTTTGTATCTGGAACTTGTTTCTTTTAACAAGGACTCCTCCGAATTTCCTCTTTACCGTTATATTTGCCTATCTTCCTTTGACCCCAGTGGCCTTTTGTCCTTTAATTAAATTAAAATCAATTAAAGGTGGTAAGTGGTATAGAAAACCTTAGTTGAATACTCTAGTTCCTTCGAGATTGCTGGACCACCATTTAAGTCCCACAGCCTTAAATGCTTTTTCAGCACTTGACCTCTTCAGAAGCATGAGTTTCTTCTATAGTGAGGACAGCATTCAAAAGTTATGTCATCAATCAGAAGGAATTATAAAGCAATATATAGTAAATAGTTTCTAAACATTAAATAAAACAATTGAATTTGTAATTATCTGTAAAATACCAATGTCTCCTAGATTACTTTCTTAGACAATTTGTGTAATCTCAGAATTAATATTTGAAGATGTATGTAACAGTTCTATTAGAAACAGCAAAATTGGCTCAGTGAACAGTCCGTGTGTACAGCCACTGGTCTAAATCAACTCCACTGCCAATCTGGCAAGCACAAAGGAATAGACTAAATGAATATCAAATGAATAGACAATTCAGAAATGTCCAACAGATAACTAAAATTGAAATTTTATTTTTTTTCAATAATATTCATCAGACATTTTTCTGACAAGACTTTTCTGAAAGATGAAGTGCAAATGGGAACCCTGTAAGAATGTTTAGAGGAATTGTACATGACATTTTTTTAAGCGCCACTAAGTACACATTGAATACTTTGTAAGTATATAGGCATAGCAACATGCAAGTGTCATGTACCTAACATTACAATATGCATTTTGTCTGCTTGAGGTTATTAATGAAGAAATTAAATGAAGTAAATGTGTCTCCACCATCAGTGCAATATGTTTAATTCCCAGGGGTTTTGTTTTCAAGGTTGTGGTTTTATTTTTGAATCATTCAAATGTATCCTTCCAAAGGTATGAACTGCCAGCATAAGAGCAGTGGACATTGGACTTCCCTGGAAAATATACTTATGCTGACTAAATAGATAAAGTTGTTCCAGTCCTTTCACAAATTGTGTCTTACTATTTATTCTAGGAAAATTCCTGCTGAACATTTTTCTGTAGCTATAAAATATCTATACTCAGAGTAAAGGATGCACAAGGCATGCTTTGTCATTCTGTTCTAAAGGAACTAAAGAGCAACTCAAATGTACTTTAACAACTCAAGCCTTATTCTTTTGAGATCAATAGGCGTATTGTATCCAACTTTTATGGAAGCAGAACATATATGAACCCAGTAATCCACGAGTTCACTCTCTTGGCTCACTGCTGAGGATGAAGCAGATGACTGTAGGTTGTATTTGCATATTTCTATGGATGCTGTACAGGGGTATAAGGAAATCTGCTTTCACTGAAAAAAGACAGCATGAGCAACTGTGCATTTACTAGCTTTAAGCAATATGCATAGAAAGGAGGGAAAGAGGAAGTACTAAAGAATTCAGCTCAGCAGTTAAAGACTTTTCCACTCTTAGCAAATGATGTTAACAGTTAATGATTAGCATTATCATTTTTTTTTTTTTTTTTTAATTTACAAAAGCCCTCCTTTAAGAGGGCTTCAATAGTCTTGCTGTAGAAGAAGACTAAGAAAAGAGTATGTTTAGAAGCAAATAGTATCTATTTTCCTCAGCATTATGCATAAGGGCAGGATAAGGCTTCATATAGTTTGTGCTGAAGCGTGCAAACAGAGCTCACGCAGGAAACACTTCTGGTTTAATCCTGAACACAGAGACAGTGCTGAAGTGCTGATCCCAGAAGGCTTGGTTTTGCAACGGAACTCTTAAAAAAGATGAAAATAAAAATCCTTCAACATTTGTCCAGTAATAACATAGACTGGTCCTAAAAGGAGCCTGTAAAAGAAGGGAGACTTTGTTTTCTATCTCCTTTCCAATCAGACTGCTGCTTCTAGCCCAACAGAGAATAAATTACTCAAGACACGGAACATGGAGAGCAGATCTATCATAAACACAGACATCATTAAGAATTTTTTGCCATCTACTGAGAGATGTCCTGCTATAGGAAACCCCTAGAAATACAGTCAGTGTATTGGCTCTACACCATCTTCTGTCTATACGTAAATACATTAAACAGTGATGAAGAAAATGAACACAGCTTGGAAACAGGGTGATTCCTAGACATGGGAATAATTCCCTAAAGGACTGCTGGAAGCGCATAAAGCTTAAAGCATCCCGAGAACGTGGAGTGATACAGAAGTGTGCTGTTAAACCATGTTTATACCTTTATTTCCTCCTGAGTTAAAGCAAGTGCAGAGTGCTGGGTTAGATTCACCGACAGCAGGAAGGAACTGTGCTAGTCCTCTGTCAGTGCTAATAGACAATGCTCACTTGTGTTGGAGTTACTAGTTCAGATCCATTCTGAAAAACCATGTAGGACACCTTTAGGAATTTCCACTTCTGATGAGTTTCTACTCTGCTCTGTTGACGTCAGAAGCAGCTCCGCCTATTTCATGTTCTCTTATTGTTTGCAATAGTCCTTCCCTGTCCAACATGCATTGAGTGTTTTTAATGTAAACATGCTCTTAAAATATGTTGAAATAAGTAAGAGACATGTCAGAATATCTCAACAATAGTGGTATTGCATATTTAATTCAAAAGCTTGCATGTGCTTTAAAAAGTTTCTCTTCAAAACTGCATGCCTTTTACTGGAAAGGAATTGTATAGAAGTTGGATTGCATGCCACTGTCTAGTACTGACTAAATATTGATATGGTATAGCAGTTCATTTTTAAGCTGTTTGGGATGAACCCCCAGCCAGTGTAAATTGGCCCACATTTAAGGCAATAGAGTGAAGCTGATTTATACCAGCTGAGGCTGTGTCCTTATGCCCTATTATAATCCCAAAGAATCCCAAAGTTGGCAAAGAATAGGGCAAGTATTACCAACCTAGGCAATATTTTCTTTCTATTTTTAGCAGAAAAACAAAATTACAATCATCTTATTTCAAAACTACACCAAAGACTTAGTAGTAATTTAAAATGTATACAAATATTTCGTAGCTAGTATTCAGACTAAGAGGTAGATGTCATATTCAAGGAATAGTACAATGTGGAAAAATGCTAACGGCAGTTGCTAAATACATCTATTTGTCTATTACATATGACACAAAGAAGAATCATAGCAAATGGCAGCTAAAAATAATAATTAAAAAAAGGCTTACAATACCCTTTTCTTCTTTTGCTATACTATGTTATCTGTCTTTCAGTGCATTCCCTGCGGTGGGGTCTGATGGAAAAGTGGCAAGAATTAGAAGGATCACTAATACAAAACTTCATGTTTACAAAACATCAGCTTTATCACGAAAGGCATCCTCCGTGCTTTGATGGAAGCATTTGGTACTTACAATTTAAGACTGCCTGGCATTACTGAGCAAGCGGTGGAAATTCCAGGTGAGGTGATTCAGCAAACTAGGGGTCAGAAAAATGCAGTTCTCTCTTTCTCTGTTGTGCCTGCTAAAAATACCAGGGCATATGGCAGCATATTTCAGCATCTTAACATACTAGGCTCCCCCGAGGACAGAAAAAAAGAGAAAACTTGTGCTGTTGAGCCTGAAATAGATTACTGAACAGTGTTGCCAGACACAAAGAATGCTGGCAGCAAAGCCATCAGCACAGTCAGTGTTTGCCTTTCCTAAAGGTGATTCAGTTATACTTAGTGGGCCTTAAAGAGATAGAAATTAAAGCTAGTAAGAATAATGAGGAATATAAGCATTTTTATAAATTAGTTGTCATTGAAGGTAGAGGAATTACACATATTGCATTAGGATATCTGCTGCTTGTACATGTACCTTCCTGGTTTTCCTTGTGATTGTTAAGTGTTGTCCCCCTGCTTGAAATAATCAAAATGCATATTATAATTACATGGTTTTCCAAAATCCATACACAGCAAGTACAAGATACTTACATGTAAATACACTATATTCACCTATATTTTTGCATAGTTTTTAGTGTGTACTTTGTGCCACTTAATAAAAGCATTACTCGCATATTTTTGTTTTGTTTTTCTCTATTCTACAGCTTATTCAATTAAAGTAGAAGTAGCTGGATTTTGGTATGTTCATCACAGATTACCAGTTCCTTGGAGTGTAGAGATCAGATACTTGGAGGAGTCTGGATAAGCAGTGGGGAAAGCTGCAGTGTGAGCATGACGTTTTAAATCACCTCCTTAATTAAGAAATATTGTATCAGATTAACAGCGCTAATTTAATAAACTTACCTTTAATTTGAATGGAATTATAAAGGTAAGAACTCTGTTTTCCTTTTGGTAACACTTTACAATAAGTGGCACTAAATTACACTATAACGGCTATGTTACAGGGAAGTACATGTATCTACGCTGTAACTGCTGAAAGAGCTACTGTACATGTGCGTACATGGTAACTTCAGTGCTGTTACAATCATGAATTACATAATTACAGATGATTCTGTCCTTTCTTTTCATTGAAATAGTTTTATATATATATATATGTATAGTATACTGTCATGAAAATACACAAGATGTTAACTTTCATGTCTTATTTAGAAAAGTTGGTTTTCTCCACAAATTCCTTTATAGAGGGAGTCTCAGTGCAAGATGAACCACTCCTAAGAAATGTGAACGCTTTTTAACGTGTTCTAGCTTAAAATTCTGAGCCTCAAAATTCAACATCAGGTTCCCTAAACTGTTTCTTGATTTGTCTGATGATGCTAAAAGAGTGTGAGGATGCACCCCTTGTCTTCTGATGCACAGCTTTCTTGTCCAAATCATGAGAATGTTCTTCAAACATTGGAAAAAAAGAAATTAAAAAAAAAAAAAAAAAAAAAAAACAACATTTAAAAGTGTAGAAATAATCAGCAACTGACATTGTAAACAGTACACTGGCAGAAACTAGCTACCTGGTTTTGAGAAAACTACTCTGCATGGGAGTGAGGGAGAGGGTGTCACATATATTTTGGCTAATGTCTTCCCATTCAGAGACTCCATTTCATGCATTTGCTGGGTACCTTGCAGCCATCTTCAAAGCAATCTTTCAGAATGGGATCTTGACTAAAGGAAACAGAAAACTGGTTTAAAAACCAGCCTACTAAAAATCATTAGCTTTGAGGCATGGTTTTGCTTACAAAAGAGAATGATGCCTCTTCACACTTGGTACAGTAATTTCAATCTGTGAGGACTAGATAGGCTTGTGAAGTGCTACCCAGTCAGAATTTGCCATTTATGGCTGCTTGTTGTGGTTTTTACACCTGCTTTGCACAGATGTGACATCACAAGGTACAAGATAATGGAAGATCAACTGCATTAAAAATCAGCACATATGATTAGTTTTAATTGGAAACCAATGAAATAATACATTTCAACTGTCCAATTCATATCTTTTTTTTTTTTTTTTTTTTTTTTTTGCAAAGTTTAAATGCTGTTTTTATACTGCTGGAGAAAATGGTTCAAAACAATCCTGCTTTTGGAGGTCCTGCCTGACCTTCATCGGGCAACAGTTCAAGTAACAACTCTACTATTCAAACAAGCTGGAATTAGGAAGAATAAAAAAAGGCATAAACATCATACTTCTGGGGAATTCCACTTGAGCAAATAAGGCCCTTGTCCAGGGAAGCTCTTCTTTTTATGCGTAAGAATAGTGCCTTACAGTTCAACGGAACTTCTCCCATGCCTGTCACTGAGTGCGTGCTTAGATGCTTAGTTCAGTTGGGCCCCAGGTACTGAAATGAAACCTTGCATTGTGTGACACTTTACTGTGGATAACTGGGAGTTACAGTTGTGGCAAGAATCCATATTTTTGGTACTAACTGAATGACTTCCTTTGCCAGCCTTTTTACATGTGTATGTTTTGAAAGACATGAATATCTTGTAAACCTATACTAGTTTTCAATGTGTCTAGTAGCACCTACCTGGTTCTCTCAAACTACCATATTATATTAACATATTATTGCATTTTTCCACAGATGGGTATGGAGTGAACTGTAAAAACAAGCATGCAATCACATCAATGCAGACTAATTTCTTTAAAATGTCATACTGTATATGATTTATTATGTTAACACTCAACCACATCATATTATTTATGTCTGTATATTTTGAAAAAAAGTGCTGCTTGATTGACGTCACCCTTTTTTCTTGAAATTAACAAGATAAAGGTTTCAACAAAAACAATTAAAATACTCTAGTATTGTCCTTAAAAGGTTTATACTCTTTTGATAAATAATCTGACACAGCACCTTTATCTTCCATTTTTCCATACTACATGATGTCATATTCCAAACTCTCCCTTTCCCACACAAAAATAAAATCCCAGGAGAAAGTCCTTTACAGTAGACCATCATGCTTTTAGGCTTCACAAACAAGTACAGCAACCAGAGAGAAATATTCTTTTGTCAAAGGTGCAAAACTCAGGAGTACAACAAACTCCATCTAGACTAACTTGCATTCTCCAGTGTAGAATCATTACTAAGAGCTGTTATGGCAACCTTGTTACTTCATTGGAAGAGGAAATAAGCCAATGGGCTTACAGTGTTTTGTTGTCGCAGTTAAGAGCATGTGTTTTTCAGCTGTCAATTACACAAAAAAATTCAGAAATAATCCAAACAGAGACTTTCACTGTGGAGCTAAAAGCATGGCAGGAATTCTCTATCATTCACGGTGACATAAGTTTGTACCTCACAAAATGCATAGACAGGAATTTAATATAAAGAATTAGTCCATTTACTGTATACACAAAACATATATCTTTTGTTTTAACATTTCTATTTTTTTTTTTTTACTTTTTTTTTTTTACTTTTTTTTTTCTTTTTTTTCTTTTTTTTTCTTTTTTTCTTTTTTGGCAAACCAACATAGAGAAGCAGCTCTGGAACTGCCAAATTAAAAACTGATAATTTTTGCAACTCAATAGTATTTTTTAAGGATTGTAATCAAATGTGGTTGTAATTTAAAACCTGAGGCTGTGCACTGGTTGTTAGCATAAAACTACCTTTCCATATAACATTGTGCTTCCATTGTATAACAAAGAAAAACCAACAAGAACTAGAAAAGTTTGCTGCTGAACAGTGCTAGGACATACAGACAAAAAAAATACTTATACATGTTACCTACTCAGAATATTTATTTGAGTCATATCTAAAGGGATATAATGGACATTAGAAAATGCCTACTTGTGACTGACTTAGCTACTGCCAAAAAAGTTAAATATGTATCAAACAATGTTTAATTGAATTTATTATATGCACTATATACATATACTAAAATGTCTTGCAGTCATGCCCTATGAACGCTTCAAATTTGAGTAGGCAGGTGAGTCCATGAAAAGCAAATAAATTACAAAAACAGAAATTACTCACACACAAAACAAATCTCTAATTGTTGTAATCCCAAAAAAGCAGTAGAATGGAAAGACAAATTTGTTTCAAATGAAGCACTATTATCTAAATTTGCAGAATCAGTTTAGCTATTCAGCATGATTTTACCACTGAAACATGGCACTGCTGTCAAGGTACCATTTAAAACATAATAAAGCAAAGCAAAGCAAAACAAAAAATTTAGTAGATGGATAGTTGTTTTTTATCCCACCAAATCCAAGCACACAAAAAACTATTCTACAAAGACTTCTGTTTGTATTTCCTAGGGCATATGTCTCAAAAACAAGTTGCTTTTTTAATTATAGACATATATAAAACATTCTTTGTAAACCTCTAGTCTTAGACTTAACATTTTATGTAAGTAAATTAGGTCCTTACCTAATAGTATTTGTTATGAATATTCTTCTATGACATACTAGTAGGGATCATGGTAAAAGAAACTGAAAACGAAGAAAGCTGTATAACATTTAAAAATGTAGAAAACTTGAATTAAGATGATGATTAACATTGTTAAGGCTGTATATTCAAGCACTGTATGTTAAGAGAGCAGTGGATATGGATTTTAGGCAATAAGAAATGTCCTGCTTTATACACGATGCTGCAATTATAGAATGGGGATGTCAAGAGCTGATTGTTGGTATAAACTGGCTACTTAGAGCAGGTATGCAAGTTAATAAAGATAGCAGAATATGGCAGAAATGAAGTCTGAAAAATGATAGCCAGTTTTCTCCACCATTCAGCCTGATAAGTAAAACTCCAAGATTCTAGTTCTGTATCTAAATGAAATACTCCTTTTTCTCCTCTGCATTGACTTGGCTGCCTTCTGCATTGATAATGGCTGTGTCGGCATCAGGTGCATCTTCAGCTCCTTTTGCTTCGTTTGTTAAATATGTTCCTATAGGAATCAGTACAACAGAAAAAAAAAAAAAAAGAAAGAAAAAAAAAAGAAAAAAGATTAGGTTTTGTTTTAGATTTACATTGCATTATAGGAAGTACATTTCTAACAGTGCTCCAATTGCTTCATGAGTGGATGGATACTTTTACATTTTTAGTATGAATGATACTGGTAGGTTCAGCTTTCTACTTTGTCCATGAAATATCTGTAGTATTAACACTGGTAATCCACATGCACAAATTCACATCTATTCATAGTAAATTAAAGAAATACCTTAAGAGAAGACCACCTTTTATGTAACTGCAGTAGTATGCAATATATTTTGTAATTATAGAATAAATGATAAAATCTTGGTTATTTCATGGAAAAGCTATTCACAAAAATCAAATCAACTTTGAAGATTCAGATATTCATAAATGCTTAAAAAAAAAAAAAAAAAGACCACTTCTTTTTTGTACTTCTTTTTCACATGATTTTACCTACTCTTAAATTTTACTGAATTGCATTACGGTCATTTCCAGGAATTACAAAACTGAGGTAGTTTCACTAACTAAATCCATTCATATTACACTGGCACACATTTTCATCATCTGGAAATGAATAAAAAGTATTGACCTTGACAACCACCTGCCCCTCATGAAAAATGTAATTTATGTTGGCATAAGATTTATATGCTATTGTTCAGAAATTAAAAACAAAAGAGGCACATTTCTACAGGTTTATTTTTCCCCTCCATGGTCCAATCAAATTAAAATGTTATTTGCATCAGCTGATGTCTGCTAGCCATATGATTATCCTACCTAAATGATTTAATGAGTTAACATCAATACTAATCCTTTCTTCTAGGTTTTTTTTTTGGTGAGGATAAGCAAATCAACTGGGTTTTAACAACCCAGTCTGCAAGCTATTCAGAGGTTAAATCTCACAAAATGATTTCGGAATTAACTAGGTCAAAATGGGATCACAGAGAGGCTTAGTCAGAAGTCAGTGTCACTCCATCCCTCTTATCTCTGTTGGTGGTGGGGATTCACAATGAAAGGAATAGAATTCTTAAGGTGAAACCCCTGCATAAGGTAAAGCTTGACCTGGGAATGAAACTCTTACTCTGGTTGGACAGTTAGCAAAAGAGCTACTGATCTGAAATTTCACAATCAGTATTTAAAATTATTTTTTAGTGCTTTTTAGAAGCATCAACACAAGAAAAATCTTGTGTGTGTATATAAACATGCATCTGTTGACTTGATATACTAGTTAATACTACAAGATTATATAATCAGGTGTCTAGAGCTAAAGGCTAAAATCAAGGGTCACTCTAAATCAATGATTTGTGACATGAACACATAACTGGACATCCTTTGCCTTAGCTAGTCCACTGAAAAACTGGACAGAAATTCAGAGACTTTACTCATGATTAGAGTGTGAATGGAGCTTTCTTGTCCAAACCATTCATCAGATGGGGGAAGGTGAAAGGGAAAAGCATTCCCAAGTGAAATCATGCCTTGCTTCCAAAAGGGATAGAAGTTCCACTAAATCTATCCTACCTTTATGTCTTGCCAGGTATCGACCAAGGAGAATTATAGAACATAGCGTTACAAAGACAACTACAGCCACTATTCCTCCTATTAGAGCGTGGTCAGGTCCGGTCTGTCCAGCCAAAGCATTTGGATCTACAGGGAGAAACAAAAACCAAAAATGGTCCTACACAGAAAAAAACTGACAGGAAAAAATCACAATACCAAGTTTTACACTGATCATCCTGAAAATAGGGCATTTCCCTCTTTAATATTTAGCATGGTTATTCCCACATTTACTACCCATATCTTATCAACAACAGAGTGCCGCTTGTATTCCCAGACTGTCAAAGCCCTGAGGACATCACAGTTATGAAAAATATTACCTTCTTCTTCTTTGGCAGAGGTTATTAAATGGGAAAGGTTTCTGGTTTTGTCCTCGTCATTTTACAACTGAAAACCTGGCCACAGCTATTTATAGAAGGAAAAACAAGGAACCGAGAATTGGGGATCAGATAGCATCAGCAGAATAGTGTCTGCATAATACATAATTTATAGACCTGATTCTCAGTGGGGAACCCTTATATATTCTCTTCCTCTCATTCCTATCCTATTGCACCAGAAATAAAAAGGCAGATAAAGTGCAGCCTTGCAAAGTCCCTCTGCACATGGCTGAGTCTGCATGAATTTGGTCAGATAAAGGTATCGGGCAACCTGAAAGATCATCATTCATTTTCAAGCCTCGGTTTGAGAGTTTACTATGAATACTCAATTAGCACACAAACGGAACGAGCTGTAATATATTCAGCAGTGTATTCTCAAGTCCACTTTACTAACTCTGGACAAGGTGCTACAATGAATGTTGTCAGATTTGAGCCTTCTGTGCTGGTCACCTGTCTATTCTGTTGGCTGGTGCTTTATGAATGTTGCAAAGAATACTGGGAAATGACACTATTTAGAGGTGGGTAATTCTCTGGAACTTTTGAACAATGAATGAGCAATCTTTGTCAGCTGAAATATGCAAAAGGAAGAAAATATTCCATCAAAGAGTCATGTTAAGATTTCTGTTTTGATGAAAGCGCCTCAGCTACATGGTAATAGTAATTCTCTCAAGATGCTATTAGCATGTTCTCTATGTTGCTGTCAGTCTATACACACTGTTTCAAGGGCATTTCCCTTATAGCAGCCATTTATATTCTACAAGTAGTCTGCAAACAATTTCTTTTTTGCAAAACAGAAAGGCAGAAAAAATATTTACAGATAAAAGAAGGCTACCCTGCAAAGACAATTAAAGTGCCTCTGATAATGCTTAGGAAGTGTGATTGTGTGACACCACAATTACATTATGCTGACCAAGATCACTGTTTAATGGTGAGATGTATTTATATATCTACATACACACATATGTATAAACATAGCATTATTCAGACGAAATGAAAGAGGCATGCTTTCCCCTCTCTTTGCAAAACATCAGCCACATGGAAACTCAAAGTTTGCTGGAGCACACAGCAGTATGGGTCATGGTAATAGATACTGTTCTGCTCTTTACAGTCCTCGAACCCCTGAAGCATGGCTTCCTCCCCTGCTGCTGGCTTCAGAACTCCCAACTGTTTGTCTTCTGGCTGCTAAGAGAACTTATGGAAAAATGGCCACAGCACTTCTGCAGACATCACAGCAAACTAGTTAGGGGCCTCAAGAAAGCTAGAAACACATTATAACGTCCACTGTCCCTGCCCCTTCTCCATCCTCATGAAAATTCTGGCTCGCTATGTTGAGGAGGGGGGTTCAATTCAAAAGGCCATCGGCTCTATTTTGATCAAGAAGGACCCTCATCTCTGTGTGCCAGCAGCCTTGTGGGAAAAGGCAGGAGGGCTGAAATCTCATCCTGCCAGAGCCACAGCTTGGAGCCCACAGCCATCCTTCCCCAGGCCTTGCAGAGGCTCTGCTTTCAATAGCGCTTAGAAGGCAGTGATTACTCACTTGAGAAAATGGAAGGTGACAGCTTGCTGCAGGACTTTCAGTCTGCTTGAGCCATCTAGCAAATTCCTCCTTCTGTGGTGCCTGTGGCAAAGTTGCTGTAAACCTGCTTCCAGCAGCAAAAAGCAGCACCAATTTTGGCACTCAGGAGGAGCAATGTCCGTAAGTGCTGTATGTAATCTGCAGGAGATGCTCTTCCCCAGAAACTGGGCAGGAGCAGGATGAATTTGTTTTCCCACTGATATACTTACATACTCGATAATACAGTAGCATTAAAATTAACAAGTGAAAGGCAATATTTTGAGGGATAATATCCTTCTTGATGTAGAGTATAATACAGAGAAGGACTAGCATTGCACTTCATCCTTTTTGAAAAGCTGATTGCAGCATACAAGCTCAATATCCAGATTTACACATCACTCTTATGTGAGCTTTAATAAGCACTGCAGACAGAAATTGTCACATAAAGGTAATCACTATACACTGAAGTGAATATGCCTGTGTTTTCATCCTCAAGCGCTTTCCAGCATGTAGGTCCTTCCTTTAGCATACCTGATGCAGTGGACTGCTTATGATGAAGATTAATGAGATTCTACTGTTCCTAAAGATTGACATTTTTAGCCTTAAATTTTAGTTTTTCATTGAAATGCAAAAATAGTATTGTATTGCCATTGAGAGAGAACTTTATGTTTCTCAATTTTTGTAAGATTATATTGATAAATATCGTCACAGAAGTCTATTCACAAAGAAACTGTCTATGAACTACTTTCATTCTCAAAAAGCCAAAAAAAGAAGATCCAGGGAACTACAGGCCAGTCAGCCTCACCTCTGTGCCTAGCAAGACGGTGGAGCACATTCTCCACAAGGCCCCACTAAGGCAAATGGAAAATAAATACGAAGTGATTTGTGGTGACCAATATGGTTTCACGAAGGGCAAGACATATCTGATAAAGATGATAGTCTTTCACGATGGAGTTATGGTAGGTAAAGGAAGGGCAACTAACATCATCTACCTGGATTTGCACAAAGTTTTTGACACTGTCCTGCACAACATCCTGATTACAAAATTGGAGAAAAATGGATGAATGGACTACTTGTTGGATAAGGAATTGGCTGGATGTCTGCACTCAGAGTTGCATTAAACGGCTCAGTGTCCAATTGGAAACTGGCAATGAGTGGTGTTTCTCAGAGATCAGATACTGGAACTGGTGCTATTTAATGTCTTTGTAGGCTGTATGGACAATGGGATTGAGTGCACCATAGCAAATTTGCAGATGGCACCAAGCTGAGTGGTGCAGATGATATGCCAGAGAAAAGGGATGCTTTTCAGAGGGACCTGGACAGGCTTATGCCAACCTCATGAAGTTTGACATGGGCAAGTACAAAGTCCTGCAACTCATGTGGGGCAATCCCAAGTACAGACAAAGGCTGGGTGGAGAAAGGCTTGAGAGCAGCCCTGAGGAGACGGATTTGGGGGTCTCAGTTGATGAAAGACTCAACATGATTTGGCAATGCGCATTTGCAGTCCAAAAGGCCAATTGTATCCTGGATTGCATCAAGAGAAGTGTGCCAGCAGGTTGAGGGTAATGACCCCACCCCTCTGCTCTGCCCTCATGAGTACTGTGTACAGTTCTGGAGCCCCTAGCACAAGAACTCAGTTGGAGCAGGTCCAGAGGAGATGACGATGATCAGAGGGCAGTAGCATCTCTCCTATGAGGACAGGCTGAGAGAGTTGGTGCTCTTCAGTCTGGAGAAGAGAAGGCTCCAAGAGGACCTCATAGCAGTCCTCCAGTATCTGCAGGGGACCTACAGGAAAACTGGGGATAAACTTTTTATAAGTGCATGTAATGACAGAAGGAGGGAAAATGTTCACAGAATCACAGAATCACAGAATTGTAGGGGTTGGAAGGGACCTCCAGAGATCATCGAGTCCAACCCCCCTGCCAAAGCAGGTTCCCTACACCAGGTCACACAGGTAGGCATCCAGGCAGGTCTTGAACATCTCCAGAGAAGGAGACTCCACCACCTCCCTGGGCAGCCTGTTCCAGTGCTCCGTCACCTCACTGAAAAGAAGTTCTTGCGCATGTTTGTGCGGAACTTCCTATGCTGCAGTTTCCGGCCATTTCCCCTTGTCCTGTCTCCACTCACCACTGAAAACAGTCTGGCCTCGCCATTCTGCCCCCCACACCTTAGATATTTATAGACCTGGATCAGGTCCCCTCTCAGTCTCCTTTTCTCAAGGCTGAACAGACCCAGATCACTCAGCCTTTCCTCTAGGAGAGATGCTCCAGGCCCTTCACCATCTTCGTGGCCCTCCGCTGACTCTTTCCAAGAGATCCTTGTCTTTTTTGTACTGGGGTGCCCAGAACTGGACACAGTACTCCAGATGAGGTCTTACCAGGGCAGAGTAGAGGGGGAGGATCACCTCCTTCGACCTGCTGGACACGCTCTTTTTAATGCACCCCAGTAAGCCATTGGCCTTTTTGGCCACAAGGGCACACTGCTGGCTCATGGCCAACCTGTCATCCACCAGGACACCCAGGTCCCTTTCCGCAGGGCTCCCCTCCAGCAGGTCATCCCCCAACCTGTACTGGTGCATGGAATTATTCCTCCCCAGATGCAAGACTCTACACTTGCTTCTGTTAAACCTCATCTGTTTTTTTTCTGCCCAGCTCTCCAGCCTGTCCAGGTCTTGCTGAATGGCAGCACAGCCTTCAGGCGTGTCAGCCAATCCTCCCACCTTCGTTTCATCAGCAAACTTGCTGATTTCTTTTTACTGCAAGTGGGTAGATTTAGACTAGCTGTTAGGAAGAAAATCTTTAGTGTGAGGGTGGTGAGACACTGGAACAGGATGCCAAGTGAGGTTGTGAATGACCCTTCCCTGGAGGCATTCAAGGTCAAGCTGGATGGGGCTTTGAGCAAACTGGTCTAGTGGGAGGTGTCCCTGACTATAGCAGGAGGGTTGGAACTACATAATCTTAAAGGCCCCTTTCAACCCAAACCATTCTATGATTCAGTGATTATTACCACAGAAAAAATAACCTTTTTAAAAGAAAAAATGAAAGGAAGGAATGGAAGGAAGGGAAAGAAGTCTTCACAAGAAGCCAATATTTAGGGGGGGAAACAAGCATCCTTTCATAGCAAAATGAAAACCTGCACAATATAAACAATGCTATGAA